AAATGGAGGTGGTTGTGAGGGGAGATTATGACTCCAGGGCCACCCCAGGCTCTGGGTTTGAAGAAGTCAGTGGATACCCGTCTCTAAACAGCCAACATTTCCCACATCAACACCTGATGAGACTTCATTAACATTAGAAGTGGTAGTTGTGACTCCTCCCGGATTAGAGAATTTCCTAAACTGACTATGTACTGGGATTATAAATTCATATGTGTTAAGTATAAAACTTTAATCTTCCCAGAGTACCCCACCTACTGAGATCTGGGGGATTCTGGGATTAGGTGATGCAGTGTTAGTGAAAGAGGCATCTAGTCAGCGACCCCTGGACCAGTAGAAGGAGAGGGAAGCAGCAGATATCAGGTCACTACACAGGAGAACTTTGTGGCAGGACATCTGTCATGTGAAGCAACAGACTACCTCTCAGGGGTAATGAGATGCCCACCCTCCCCACCATCCCCCCATCACCATTACTTTGAATGGTTAAGCAAATGCCGAGGCCTCTCTTCAAGGTGTTATTGAAGGGACTCATGCCCTAGGAAGGCTGTTACGATGTGTGTTCTTTAAGGTCCAACTTCCTTAAAGTCTATCTATTTGTGCGCATGGTTGAAGCCAAAAGAGCTCAGGAGTGCTGATCTCTGCCCTCAAATATCTGAAAGGCTTCTCTAGGCAAAAGAGAGCAGGATTGTCCTATGTAGCTCTGAGGGAGGACCAGCTGGAGGGAGATTCAAGGACAATTTACAGAGCAGCTTTCTCATAGTCAGAGATGCCCGGGCATGCGATTGGCCATTCAAGGAAGAGGTGGGCTCAGACGACCACTCAGCAGGCCATCAAACATGCTACAGCTCTAAGTGGAGTTAGACCGGATGGTTTTAAGGGCTTACCAGCCCTGAAATTCTGTAATTCTAAGCTCCTGAAGTTAGCATGCCCTGAAAAGGGCTTATTCTACCTAGAAGCCCAGACGGGGCCTGCCTTACTAAAAAGCACCATGAACTTGAAAATGAGCTGCACCCCTGGTATAAGGGTCATCGTTATCCCACTTTATGGAATTGTTTATCTGTTATTTTCTCCATGACTCTTTCTCCCATCAACCAATAGATGGGAGGGCAGGGCTGTCTTACACGTTCAGTGTCTCCAGCACCTAACAGAAAGCCTGAAACAGAAGAGGCACACCGGGTGCTGTCAATTAAATTAAGGAGTCCTTTCTAAAAATTCACAAATATTAACCCAAATACCCCGTGTGCCAGGTCTCAAGCTAAGTTTGTGGGAGACCCAAAGATGAACAAACCCTACCCTTGATAACTCTTCCTTGCATGCATGCATGCTGATAAAAAACTAATTGTACTAGAGTATTTCAAGGACATTTGAACGTAATAGTCAAAGGGCCCCGCTTAGTTAGAAAATCCCTATAAGAACACTTTTAGGTGGTAGTGCATCCCAGCTGCAATACACAGACGTGTGTGAAGAGGGGTACTCCAGTTTACTCTTCCTATAACTTCAGATTTGGGGGAGGAAGGTGGAAATGATTTTTACTAAAACAATTATGCATACTGTATGAAGGGGAGTAGCAATTTCTATGAATATTTGTTAAAACAGGGGGCTTTGATGAAATGTTGAGGTGTTCTGGCCGTATTTCACGCTGCCTCAGACTCTGGCATGTGCTCTCACTCCCGTTGGCCACTGGGTTCTTTGGTGGAAACACTGGCAAGGCCCATTCGGGAGTCCAAGGGCACCCAGGGCAGCGTTCCCACTGGTGGGCGGTCCTGCCAGCCCACCCCCATGCTTGCCTCATTCTCAGTTCAGCGTTAATGCATTTTCCAAATGGAGAACATCAAGGATAACAGCAGAGGTGACCATTAAGGCCAGGAGAGAAGAGATTTTCAAGAGCATGAGGAGACTGCCTGGAAGAGAGCTGAGGGCAGAGCTGAGCCTGCCTGGCCAGGGACCACTGGCTCTTACTTGTGGGATCTAATTTGATAATTTGATGCAAGATGAGTAACCCACTCAAAGAAGAACTTATTTGCAGAGAGCATTTCCCAGGGAGCACCACTGATTCTGCCAAAGAATTTCCCAGCACGCAAGGAGGAGGAGTCCTTGACTTTCTCCTGCTCCACCCCCCAGGCTCTGGCAGGAAGTCCAACTTCGAGAACCTTTTGTGCTGAGAAGAAAAGGCTGTAATCGGGTGTTTCCTTATGGCTCTGGAATAAAGCAGCTTTTCATTTCCATGTCACATGAAGGGGCAAGTGTGGGATCATCCAGTTTTGAAGGACTGACAAAGCCTTGTTTAGGCCCTGGATATTTTCTTAGTTATTTTTAGTTTACAGCAGTCAGCACTTTAGACCAGGAGCCAGGACCAGGTGTGACAGCTCAGTGCCTCACTACTCAAACCTGGGTGAGATTTTTTTTTTTTTTGCGGTACGCGGGCCTCTCACTGTTGTGGCCAATCCCGTTGCGGAGCACAGGCTCCGGACGCGCAGGCTCAGCGGCCATGGCTCACGGGCCCAGCCGCGCCGCGGCATGTGGGATCCTCCCGGACCGGGGCACGAACCCGTCTCCCCTGCATCGGCAGGCGGACTCTCAACCACTGCGCCACCAGCAGAGCCTGGGTGAGATTTTTAAATTTATTTATCAAACTTTTATATAGTGCTTACTGTGCGCCACATACTACTGTAACTGCTGTATAAATATTACTTAATCCTCATGACCTTGCTGTCAGGTACTTTACCATCCCCATTCTACAGTTGAGGAAACTGAGGCACAGAGAGATTATGTAATTTGTCCAAGGTCAAATCAGGCTTCTGCCTCTAGGGCCCACACTTTAAACCACCATGCTGTGGAGCCTTTGTCTTGCCTCTACAAAGCCCATGGATTGCTGCAGTGGGAATCTGGGGCTGCGGTCTCCCTGCCAAACCTTGTAGGTGTGTGTGAACTGGCTGGATTCCTGCTTCCTCAGCAAACTCCCTCCAGCCATCCTGCTGTCTCCACACCCCCCTTCACCTTTCCTTTTGCACTTGACATTGCCATTACCCCATTTTCAGTCCAATGGCCGTCACAGCAAATCCCAGGCAGACTCTCACTCTGGCACAGGTGTGTCTCCTTTAAGAAAGACAAACACCAAAGCACTTTTTGAATAGACAGTGTTGAATATTCATAATACAGAAAGACCACTTTCCTCTACAAAAAGACTTAATCTCGGGGTTTCTTTAACTAGCACTAACATTCCACCCATGCTTTGAATTATTTGATTACTAATCATTAACTACTTAACCTGGGAACTCCCGAGCCCACTGTGCTTAAAGCCACAGACCCACTGGGCTACTTGCCCGTAGAAAATTCATTAGAACGGAAAGTGGAACGGGAGCTCTGAAATAAGCAGAGTCTTATTCAGTCCACACACAGCCTCCTCATAAACACCGTGACTGCAAACATGAGCTCAGCCCAGCTGCTTCATATCCTCTACCTCAAGGTGGTGAGTGCGAGTGACAAGCCAGGCCTCATCCTTTCCCCAGAGAGGGTGACGGTTTGCTTGTGGTCCCCCGACTGTGATCCCTGGACCAGTACCACCAGCAGCTGAGACACTCGGGAGCTTAAAAAGGCACATCTTGGGCCCCATCGCAGACCCGTAGGGTCAGAAGGTGGGCCCCAGTGATCTGTGGTATCACAAGTCCTCCAGGGACTGTCTAATCCATTTACCCAACCCACATCCCCAGGAGGAACCGGGAAGGTTGGTCTGGTGCTTGAGGTCCCACCTCTAGCTGCTATAGACACGCCTTGGGGAAATAGGAAGAGAGGAGGTGCATGGCTGTGTAACCTGGGGTGCCTCAGCCCAAGGCGCTCATGGACCACGGCTCCACATGCCCGCCAGGCATATAGTCAGCGCTCCGTGTCTGAGTGCCCCACAGTGCTCCGGTGCCTTTTGCAAATGAGAAGACTGAAGCCCATGGTGGCTCAGCCCCTTACCAGGGTCACGGCCGGGGAGAGCCGCCAGAGACAAGGCTGGGAGCAGAGTCCCGTGTTCGCTGCTTCCGCTCATCCCACCTCTGATGCCGTTTCTAGTCTCCAGAGAGGCTCGGAAGGAGAAGGACCTAGGCTGGGGGCTGGGGACCGAGCTCTCGGAATTATTATTAGCCTTCTTAATTTCATACATTCAGCTTTCCTTTTTTTTTTTTAATGGAAAGTATACCGATTTCACTTTATTAGCCTAATTTCAGAATGGGATCAGGACTATGGGGTTGAGGCCAGGTGTGAAGGAAGAGGGTTAAAATTTGTGACAGCAAAGATCCCTTCAAAATTCTGGTGCAGTCCTCAGTCACTGCAGCCTAATGGTCAGTCAACAGGGTTGAAATCCAGAATACTGAAAGCAGACTCCCGTGCTCCATTTCTGTCCAGGTACTCGTCAGTCACAGTGTGATGAGGTCCACCAGGTTGCCTTTAGGAGGAGTCATGCTGTCAGGAAAGAAATTTACTAAGGTGTCAAACAGCTGAGTTCTTTGAGCACAGGTGTGATCCACATTGGAAAAGCCTAGAGCTGTGAAATCCGAACCAGATTTAAACAGAGCTGAAGCTAGGAGCTGAAACTCTTTTGTCTCTTCTGGGTCTGAATGCTCCACAGTTATATAAAGATCATTTTGTAGATATTTCAGAGCACTAAGGGGATCCATTTGGGCCTTCTCTTCAAACCCGTGTTTTCTTATGAGGCACTTGCAATGCCTCAGTAAGTAATCTTTTGAAGGCCTACACAATTTCAGTGACAAGAAGTCATCTAATCTCATCTTTGGGGACCAAGATTTTCCTGGATTCCCACCAAATAAATAATGAACCTTGTGTAGCTCATCGTATACAAGCTGATGGGCAGATCTTGGACATGGTTCTTCCTCCTGAAGACTTTTACTTGGAGTATCCTTTGCAGCTTGATCATTCTTATAGACGCAAGACCAACTATTCCTTACAATGTCATAAATCCAGAATGAATTTCTGACATTCTCTTCCCTCTTTTCCTTGTCTTTGCTGAGTCCAGATAAGACATGTATTTCATCCAGTTCTGGATCAAGGGTTGCTCTCTGTGTGAATCCTGTCATTGGAACTGATGATCAAACACCAGTTTCGGTCCTCCATCAGCAGTATCCTCACTGAGTAACATCCATGTGTTTGTGTCAATGTCGTAACGATAGAAATCACTTTTTAGAGATTTGCTGTTCTTCACAGAGGAATCTGAATAACGCCCTGGCGTGTAGACTTGCCTTCGTTGAATGTCAACGCACATTTTATGACATGATCTAGCACTAGGACCATTCGCTTTCTCAGTGTCTCTAGAGATACATGTCCATTGGTTCTCTTTCACACTGTATGCCCAGAAGTCGGCAAGATCTTGTGTTCCATCCCAGCCACCAAACAAATAAACAGTCTCTGTTTGAACATCAATAACCATCTGATGGCCTCCTCTCATTCCTGGTCGGTTATCTTCTCCATCACCTTTGGTACTTTTGGGAATGATTTGACTCCATCGTGGCTTATATTCCTGTTGACTGATATACTGATTGAACAAGCCATCATTTACAGCTTTTTCAATCAATTCTTCACAAGCATCAAAATCACCCTTCAGTACCAATTTATCGTGCAGATCGGTTAACATGGGATGTTCCAGGGCAATCTTGGTTTTCTTTTGCAGTGATTCAAAGGCCTCTGTATAGTTATGTTGTCTGAAGTGTTTTAGGCAAAGGCGAATAGCTTCCTGTTCACGGTACTACTTACTATACCAGTTGAGACAGGGTTGTACTACATCGGGATCATCAATGCCACTAAGTTCAGCATACCAGATGCTAAAGTTAAAGCTGGGGCCCCGTGATAAGAGTGGAACTATTTTAATGAATCGACAAGGAAACATCTGTTCATCAATTTTATGCTTCAAGGTAAATGTTTCTTTGTTATAATCATTCTTTAAGCCACTGGACAATAGCTTTGTCATGTTTTCTTCATTCATTCCACCAAAGACTTTAAATTTCTTCAAACTGCAGACGTGAGTTTTCTCATATTTTCCAAATGTGATATTCTGGACTATAGCAGGCCTTTCAAGCTTCAGAATCAAGTACTGGGGAGGGTAGCTGCTCTCTGTAGACCACCGTGAAGGCTGGTCATTTGGCTTATCCACTAAAATGTTCATTACACCCAAGTATCTTCCTTCTGAACAATGCCTTCACATAAGTATTCCCATGAAAGTTTCAGGAAGGTAGGTGGAGGAGAAGGAGCTCCACTGTGTAGCGTGCAGGGCAGAAGCCGGCACTCGGGCCCCGCCAGCCGCCATCTTGTCAGCACCGTAGCGACCGCCGCACATTTTCTTTTTTTTTTTTTGATGCTGTTTCCATACTTAACTTGGTTTCCATTCCAGTTAAGCTCTCTGTGTGCTGTGGCATCCCTCCTGCCAGGTTTAATTGCCCTTATTTAAATTCTTTAATTAAAAGTATTGTGTTTCCAGATCCTGTAGTTTTAAGTATTACACGAACCATTTAGATGACTGGGCTAATGAACCAAGCCACTGTGCCCTCCACCGAGGGCGGGGCCAGCCAGGGGCCCTGCATCCAGCCCCCGCCCACTTGTGTGAGGACCAGAGACTGCTGACAGGTGGCCCTGCTTCCTTCCTTCCTCCCAGGCTCTGCGTTCCACACGGCAGCCAGGGGGACCCGGTTAGCATGTCAGTCCGACCCTGCAGTGGCCCGTTCTGTCACCAGGTGAACAGCCGAAGTCCGTTCGCACAAGATGCCCCTCCCTCCCCTCTTGGGCCTCATCTCCCACCCCCGCCCCGTGCTGTTCCCTGCGCACACCAGGCCTCTGCTGGTGCAGGAACTGCAGTCTGGGGCACAAGACTCCCCCAGATACACCTGGGCTCCTCCTCGTTCATGTCCTTGCTCAGCTCTCATCTTCTCAGGGGGGATCACCGCAACAGCCTCCTGCTCTCAGCACCACTCCGGTACCCTCACAACCTCCCAGTCTTAGTCCATCCATGCTGCTATAACAAGAAAGGACCAGAGACTGGGAAGCTTGAACAACAGACATTTATCTCCCACAGTTCTGGAGGCTGGAAAGTACAAGATCGTGGTGCCAGCAGATCTGGCGTCTCACACCTTCTCACTGTGTCCTCACGAGGCAGAGGGAAAGAGGTCATCCCTCCTGTGACTCTTCTTGTAAGGGTACTAATTCCATCATGAGGGCTCCACCCCATGACCTAATTACCTCCCAAAGGCCCCACCTCTCATCACACTGGTGATCAGGGCTTCAACATATGAATTTTAAGCGGAAACATTGTCCACAGCACTGCTCTACATTTTTGTGCACAATCTTAGCACCTCTAACACACTATAGAATTTACCATTTGCTCCCCCTCCTGGAATATAGTCTCCACAAAGATAAAGATCTTCGCCTGTTTAGTCACTGATGTATCTCAGTGGGTGGGAACTGCTCCTGGCATGTGGTAGGCACTCATTAAATATTGGATGGATGGATAGATGGATAAATCATGTCTTTGCAGAGAGCTCTCAAAAGAACTAGACCAACCTGACTCCCCAGAGCCCTTGAAGCTCTTCAGATGACCTTCCACCCCAGGCAATGGGACACCAGCAGCTCTCGGTCTAGTCCACTACCTTGAGGCAGGTGTGGGGTGGGATAAATGGAGGGGAGGGTGTGGCCACTCTTCCTAATGAGGAACAGCGAAGGGGGCAGACCCAGGTTCTCAGCCTGGCTCTACCACTGACTGACCATGTGACCCCCACCTCTCTGAGCCTCAGTCTCCAGTTCTACAAAATGGGCATAATTATCATCTCCACCGCTCAGGGTTATTGTGAAGAACACTTGAGATTGAGTGTGTGAAGCATTTGACACAGTGCCGGGGACATGGTAAATAAGCCTTGACTGTAACTACTTTTACCTCAGGGCCAGAGCCCGCAGGTAGAGGTAAGGATGGTAATACCACCAGGCTGCTCCCAAAGGCGCTGAGCTCACCAGGAGGGGACTGAATCGAGAACAGGAAGGCTCCTTTGCAATTTTGGTGAATGGCATTTGGCCGGAGAGGGGGCGAGAGCCCAGAGTTTGCTCAGTGAGAGAGGCTGAGGTCCAGGAAGGAAGACGGGAGGGAGACTGGCCAGTGGCTCCAGCACCAAAAGGTGGGATGGCTCCTCTCTCCGTATCCCACATACGTCCCAAGACGTATTCCAGGCCTCCAAGGTGGTCTTACTACTCTATTCTAGAAGATTCTCCTCTCAGAGCCTTTGGGGAGGGTGCTTTCTTGACCTCATTCTCCACCCTCCCTACAGGCCCAGATGCCCTCACTGAGGTTGTGTCTCCTTCACAGCCCTGCTCTTGGCCTCACTCCGTTTCCTCCAGCGCCTTCCCGGAGGCCACACAGCCTGTTTCTGCCTCAGGGTCCCTGTGCTTCCTGTCTCTAGGGTGCTGAGGGCACAGCTGGGCCAGGGTAGGGCCTGGAAAGTGCCATCTTTTTTTTTCTATTTTATTATTTATTTTTTATTTATTTTTTTAACATCTTTATTGGAGTATAATTGCTTTACAATGGTGTGTTAGTTTCTGCTTTATAACAAAGTGAATCAGTTATACATATACATATGTTCCCATATCTCTTCCCTCTTGCGTCTCCCTCCCTATCCCACCCCTCTAGGTGGTCACAAAGCACCAAGCTGATCTCCCTGTGCTATGCGGCTGCTTCCCACTAGCTATCTATTTTACGTTTGGTAGTGTATATATGTCCATGCCTCTCTCTCACTTTGTCACAGCTCACCCTTCCCTCTCCCCATATCCTCAAGTCCATTCTCTAGTAGGTCTGCGTCTTTATTCCTGTTTTACCCCTAGGTTCTTCATGACCTTTTTTTTTCTTAGATTCCATATATATGTGTTAGCATACGGTATTTGTCTCTCTCTTTCTGACTTACTTCACTCTGTATGACAGACTCTAGGCCTATCCACCTCATTACAAATAGCTCAATTTCGTTTCTTTTTATGGCTGAGTAATATTCCATTGTATATATGTGCCACGTCTTCTTTATCCATTCATCCGATGATGGACACTTAGGTTGTTTCCATCTCTGGGCTATTGGAAATAGAGCTGCAATGAACATTTTGGTACATGACTCTTTTTGAATTATGGTTTTCTCAGGGTATATGCCCAGTAGTGGGATTGCTGGGTCCTATGGTAGTTCTATTTGTAGTTTCTTAAGGAACCTCCATACTGTTCTCCACAGTGGCTGTATCAATTTACATTCCCACCAACAGTGCAAGAGGGTTCCCTTTTCTCCACACCCTCTCCAGCATTTATTGTTTCTAGATTTTTTGATGATGGCCATTCTGACTGGTGTGAGATGATACCTCCTTGTAGTTTTGATTTGCATTTCTCTAATGATTAGTGATGTTGAGCATTCTTTCATGTATTTGTTGGCAGTCTGTATATCTTCTTTGGAGAAATGTCTATTTAGGTCTTCTGCCCATTTTTGGATTGGGTTGTTTTTTTGTTACTAAGCTGCATGAGCTGCTGATAAATTTTGGAGATTAATCCTTTGTCAGTTGCTTCATTTGCAAATATTTTCTCCCATTCTTAGGGTTGTCTTTTGGTCTTGTTTATGGTTTCCTTTGCTGTGCAAAAGCTTTGAAGTTTCATTAGGTCCCATTTGTTTATTTTTCTTTTTATTTCCATTCCTCTAGGAGGTGGGTCAAAAAGGACCTTGCTGTGATTTATGTCATAGAGTGTGTCCTGCCTATGTTTTCCTCTAAGAGTTTGATAGCTTCTGGCCTTACACTTAGGTCTTTAATCCATTTTCAGCTTATTTTTGTGTATGGTGTTACGGAGTGATCTAATCTCATACTTTTACATGTAGCTGTCCAGTTTTCCCAGCACCACTTATTGAAGAGGCTGTCCTTTCTCCACTGTACATTCCTGCCTCCTTTATCAAAGATAAGGTGACCATATGTGCTTGGGTTTATCTCTGGGCTTTCTATCCTGTTCCATTGATCTATCTTTTTGTTTTTGTGCTAGTACCATATTGTCTTGATTACTGTAGCTTTGTAGTATAGTCTGAAGTCAGGGAGCCTGATTCCTCCAGCTCCGTTTTTCGTTCTCAAGATTGCGTCAGCTATTCGGGGTCTTTTGTGTTTCCATACAAATTGTGAAATTTTTTGTTCTAGTTCTGTGAAAAATGCCAGTGGTAGTTTGATGGGGATTGCATTGAATCTGTAGATTGCTTTGTGTAGTAGAGTCATTTTCACAATGTTGATTCTTCCAATCCAAGAACATGGTATATCTCTCCATCTATTTGTATCATCTTTAATTTCTTTCATCAGTGTCTTTTAATTTTCTGCATACAGGTCTTTTGTCTCCTTAGGTAGGTTTATTCCTAGATATTTTATTCTTTTTGTTGCAATGGTAAATGGGAGTGTTTTCTTCATTTCACTTTCAGATTTTTCATCATTAGTGTATAGGAATGCCAGAGGTTTCTGTGCATTAATTTTGTATCCTGCTACTTTACCAAATTCATTGATTAGCTCTAGTAGTTTTCTGGTAGCATCTTTAGGGTTCTCTATGTATAGTATCATGTCATCTGCAAATAGTGACAGCTTTACTTCTCCTTTTCCGATTTGGATTCCTTTTATTTCCTTTTCTTCTCTGATTGCTGTGGCTAAAACTTCCAAAACTATGTTGAATAAGAGTGGTGAGAGTGGGCAACTTTGTCTTGTTCCTGATCTTAGTGGAAATGCTTTCAGTTTTTCACCATTGAGGATGATGTTGGCTGCGGGTTTGTCATATATGGCCTTTATTATGTTGAGGAAAGTTCCCTCTATGCCTACTTTCTACAGGATTTTTATCATAAATGGGTGTTGAATTTTGTCAAAAGCTTTTTCTGCATCTATTGAGATGATCATATGGTTTTTCTCCTTCAATTTGTTAATATGGTGTATGACGTTGATTGATTTGCGTATATTGAAGAATCCTTGCATTCCTGGAATAAACCCCACTTGATCATGGTGTATGATCCTTTTAATGTGCTGTTGGATTCTGTTTGCTAGTATTTTGTTGAGGATTTTTGCATCTATGTTCATCAGTGATATTGGCCTGTAGTTTTCTTTCTTTGTGACATCCTTGTCTGGTTTTGGTATCAAGGTGATGGTGGCCTCGTAGAAGGAACTTGGGAGTGTTCCTCCCTCTGCTATATTTTGGAAGAGTTTGAGAAGGATAGGTGTTAGCTTTTCTCTAAATGTTTGATAGAATTCACCTGTGAAGCCATCTGGTCCTGGGCTTTTGTTTGCTGGAAGATTTTTAATCACAGTTTCAATTTCAGTGCTTGTGATTGGTCTGTTCATATTTTCTATTTCTTCCTGATTCAGTCTTGGCAGGTTGTGCATTCCTAAGAATTTGTCCATTTCTTCCAGATTGTCCATTTTATTGGCATAGAGTTGCTTGTAGTAATCTCTCATGATCTTTTATATTTCTGCAGTGTCAGTTGTTACTTCTCCTTTTCCATTTCTAATTCTATTGATTTGAGTCTTCTCCATTTTTTTCATGATGAGCCTGGCTAATGGTTTATCAATTGTGTTTATCTTCTCAAAGAACCAGCTTTTAATTTTATTGATCTTTGCTATCCTTTCCTTCATTTCTTTTTCATTTATTTCTGATCAGATTTTTATGATTTCTTTCCTTCTGCTAGCTTTGGGGTTTTTTTGTTCTTCTTTCTCTAATTGCTTGAGATGCAAGGTTAGGTTGTTTATTCGAGATGTTTCCTGCTTCTTAAGGTGGGCTTGTATTGCTATAAACTTCCCCCTTAGATCTGCTTTTGCTGCATCCCATAGGTTTTGGGTCGTCGCGTCTCCATTGTCATTTGTTTCTAGGTATTTTTTGATTTCCTCTTTGATTTCTTCAGTGATCACTTCGTTATTAAGTAGTGTATTGTTTAGCCTCCATGTGTTTGTATTTTTTCCAGATCTTTTCCTGTAACTGATATCTAGTCTCATGGCGTTGTGGTTGGAAAAGATACTTGATACAATTTCAATTTTCTTGTATTTACCAGGGCTTGATTTGTGATCCAAGATATGATCTATCCTGGAGAATGTTCCATGAGCACTTGAGAAAAATGTGTATTCTGTTGTTTTTGGATGGAGTGTCCTATAAATATCAATTAAGTCCATCTTGTTTAATGTATCACTTAAAGCTTGTGTTTCCTTATTTATTTTCATTTTGGATGATCTGTCCGTTGGTGAAAGTGGGGTGTTAAAGTCCCCTACTATGAATGTGTTACTGTCGATTTCCTTTTTTATGGCTGTTAGTATTTGCCTTATGTATTGAGGTGCTTCTATGTTGGGTGCATAAATATTTACAATTGTTATATCTTTTTCTTGGATCGATCCCTTGATCATTATGTAGTGTCCTTCTTTGTCTCTTCTAATAGTCTTTATTTTAAAGTCTATTTTGTCTGATATGAGAATTACTACTCCAGCTTTCTTTTGGTTTCCATTTGCCTGGAATGTCTTTTTCCATCCTCTTTCTTTCAGTCTGTATGTGTCTCTATGTCTGAAGTGGGTCTCTTGTAGACAGCATATATAAGGGTCTTGTTTTTGTATCCATTTAGCCAATCTGTGTCTTTTGGTGGG